TCCCAGCTACTTGGCAGGATCCCTTGAGCCTAGGAGTTCAAGTCTTGCCTGGGCAATATAGTAAGACCCTTTCTTAAAAAAAGAAAAAGAAAAAGAAAGAGAGAGAGAGAGAGAGAGAGAAAGAAAGAAAGAAAGAAAGAAAGAAAGAAAGAAAGAGAGAGAGAGAAAGAAAGAAAGGAAGCAATGCAAAGACATTACTTCCCTTTTTTGTCTTATTCCATTTTTAAATGAAAATAATGACACTATTTTATATGGGTATTACAGACAGAACCTTACGCCTCTGAGGAAGGAAAAAAAGCAAAGGTAAATCAATAAAAAATGAAAAAGCTGTGGGACTTTTTTTTTTTTAGCCTATATGTTAAGCTATGGCAGCTCACTGTAAAAGTAGTATGTATTGTTTCCCAGACGAAGACAAATTAAGAATTGAAATTGTTGCTCCAATCTACTTTGAAAAGCTTGGCCCCAGAGGGACTGGGACACCAGCGCACCGAGCATGCGCAGGCCGGCACCGCCACACTGGCCTGTGTCTGGGACGCTGCGCTTGTATTGATTCTCAGAGCGAGGCCACCGGGTGCCCCTGGGTCTGCAAAAGTGCTGGACCCTGCAAAGACGCATAACTTAGGACCCACGTGGAGGCACCTTGCCAGAAAGCCTTGAGGACAGACCTGGTCATTGAACTCCAAGAAGACCCAATGTGCGCATTAGTTGTTTTCAATAGATGAGAGAATGCATGGGAGAAACCGTCCAGGGAGGCGGACGACTGGTTGCAGCTCAGCATTGGGCTGCTGAGATGATTCTCATCAGAGAATACAGAACTTATTAAAACAAATTTTAATTCTTAGATATTTCAAACATACAGAAACATTAACAAAAGAATATCATTGACCTCCATTCACCCAGAGAGATGGCTGCTTTCTGAGAGTGAGAAATGGAGGCGTTTACTGTGAGAGCTTTCATTTCCTCGTCTTCTCTCTTTGTGTGTACCTGACCTTTTCCCACCCCCTGGTTTTCTGTCCTTTGCTGTCCACTTGCCCCAGGGACCACAAGCGCCCCGTGGCTGGGGCTGTGTCTCTTCCTCCTTGTGCGCCCAGGGCGGACACTTCACACCTGCTCAGTGTTTGTGACTGTGTATCAAACGTGAAGAAAGGGACATCTTATTAGAGTGTGGCTAAGGGACTATCCCTACCCCCTCCGAAATGAGGGAATTGTGTAGTTCTCAGATTGTACTTACCACGCGGCCAGAGCCCTGGGCTGTAGCTGGGACATCTTCCTCTTGGGACACACTTCAGACTCAGCCCCAGGAACTGTGGCCTGGCTGGGCTGCTGATTCCTGCTCCATTGCTGACGTGGCAGACATTATCCAGCCTGCAGGGCTCAGACACAGTACTAAGAAAACATGGAGGCCGGGTGCGGAGGCTCACACCTGTAATCCTAGCACTTTGGGAGGCCGAGGTGGGCAGATCACTTGAGGTCAGGAGTTCAAGACAAGTCTGGCCAACATGGTGAAACCCGGTCTATACTAAAAAACAAAACAACAACAACAAAAAAAACTTAAGCAGACATAGTGGTACATGCCTATAATTCCTGCTATTTGGGAGGCTGAGGCAGGAGAATCACTTGAACCTGGGAGGTGGAGGTTGCAGCGGGCAGAGATTGCACCACTGCACTCCAACCTGGGTCCAGAGCAAGCAAGCAAGAAAGGAAAGAGAGAGAGAAAGAAACACCTTAGACTTTTTTTTCTTTCAAGCTTACTCTTGCGCTCCGCAAGGCTTCATCTGTGAAATTAGAACATTGATGTCTTAGTCTGTTAGAACTGCTTTAACAAAAACAGCGCAGACGGACTAATTTAGAAATAACAACAGAAATGTATTGCTCACAGTTCTGGAGGCTGAGGAGTCCAAGATCACGGTGCCAGCTGATTCGGCGTCTCGTGAGGGTTCTGTCTGCCACGTAGATGGCACCCTCTCGCTGTGTTCTCGTGTGGCCGAAGAGACAAACAAGCTTCCTTGGGCCTGTTCCATAAGGGCACTCATCTCATTAATGAGCCTCCCAAAGGCCCCACCTCTTAATACCATCAACTGGGGATTGGGTATCAACATATGCATTTTGGGGGAGAGGCACCCACATTCAGACAATTGCAATTGATTACCTAGAACTTTTCAGCTCAGATAATCTTTGACCCTAAATCTAGTCTTTTAAAAATTATTTTCTATTCTATTTGAATGTATTAAAATTAAAATAAAAGAAAGGTGATGATTTAGACGTGTCTATCTCTCTGCAGAGAGAAACCTGCTCGGCCCTGTGGGTCCCCTTGTTTGCACCAGTGTTTCTGTCCAGTCTGTGGCACTCACCTTGGCACTCGCTGCAGATGGCCTTTTAATGATGGGTTCCCACTTTATATGGGACCTTTTAAAGAAAGCTCACATACAGAAAAATGTTTATCAAGGCATTGTTCACAATTGCTCAGAGCTGAACCAACCCAGATGTTCATTGTGGTACATTCTCATTCTACAACACTATACAGAGATGAAAATGAGCAGGTGCCACGGATACACGTGACATGTATACACAGAACATGACACAGAAGAGTTTTAAACAGTATTCCGTTGATACAGAAGAGTTACCTGGAGTCATAATGGTCCAACAACTTGCAGAGGAGGCCCTGAACCTGTATGAGACATTGAGAGAGAGGCTTGGGACGACTTCCTTGGGAATGAATTTTACCATATTGATTGGAAAGAACCGACACGAAACTATGGGGATCTAGTTTTATAAAATTCAAAAACAGGCAAAAGCAAGGAAATGATTGTAATAAATGTCAGGGCTGTGGTTATCTTAGAAGGATGAGGGTCCCAGCGAAGGTGGGGTATTGAGGGGGCTTACGGGGTGCTGGGAAGGTTCTATTTCTTGACCCAGGCAGAGGCTCCACAGATATTCATTTTGTAACTATTTGTTACACTCTAGAGAAAATGTGCTCAATTTTTCTGCAAGCATGCTCTATTTCAAAAAGCAGTAACAATCGTAGTCAAATGCTCAGATTACGTTTCATGGCACTATAGACACAGTTTTAGGATTTACACAGGATGTCCTTTCTTTTTCCTTAACGCAGAAGAGTTACTTGGAGTCATAATGGTCCAACACCTTACAGAAGGGGCCCTGAACCTGTCGGAGACTTTGAGCGAGAGGCTTGAGATGACTTCCTTCCATGCCCATGACCCAGCAGGCAACGATGAAAAGACGAGCCCATGTTAATTTCCCGATTCCTTACCATGTGCCAGGCTCTGTGCTCTTCCTGTCACCTAAATCCTCCCAGCAGCCCTGATCCTCACTATTGAATGCGGAAGACTGAGAAGTTGCATATCCCGTCCAAGGCTAGACAGCTGGGCAGAGCCAGGATTCCAATCCAGGCGTGCCTGATCCCAGGGCCTGAATATGGAACCTCTAGGCCGCACGGTGCACACTCAGTTCTCTCAATTTTATGTCTCTTTCTCCTCCTAGACTGTGAGATCCATGAGGCTGAGATCAAATTGCCTTATTTTAGCAAAGCAAAAAGGAAAGAAAGAAAAATTAAAATTGTAGCATGAAGAAATGGCAAAAATTCCTGAATTGGCAGTTTTGCACAAGGGAAATATCTGACCCTCACTTCGTATGGATTTCTAGCTCGGGCGTGTGTCCGTATAGTAACAGGTAATGAAACTGCAGGGCTTGGTTTCTCTCTTAACAAATCAGGCTACTCCCGAGTTCTAGCTCCAGCGCTGGTACAAGCTGGCTAACAGAATTTGGGCAGGTCACTACATTTTTCTGGATCTGTATTTCTTCATCCGTAAAATGGAGGGTTTGCGCATAAACCTTAAGGCTCTTTCCTGCTCTAGAATTCACTGTAACAACAGTCCCCGCCCCATGAGCCAACCATGAACCTCAGCATCTCTTTAATTTATGTGTTTGTTAGAGTCAGGGTCTCTCTCTATCATCCAGTTGAGCTCCCGGGCTCAAGTGATCCTTCTGCCTCAGCTTCTGGAGTAGCTGGGACCACAGGTGAATAGCACCATGCCAGGCTATTTTTAACTTTTTTGTAGAGATGCGGCCCCACTGTTGCCCAGGTTACTGTTTTATGGAATATGATTTGCTGTGTGATGATCAAATGATGATAGATGTTTAGCTATTTTTTTTTCTCTAGAAAAGAAAAATGATGCAGGGTTTTTCAAAGAATCTGAAATTTAACTGGAATTATTTTATTAATTTTACCTGCTCTTATAAACAAAAGTACTCTTTTCCTTTTTTTTTTTGAGACGGAGTTTCACTCATGTTACCCAGGCTGGAGTGCAATGGCGCGATCTCGGCTCACCGCAACCTCCGCCTCCTGGGTTCAGGCAATTCTCCTGCCTCAGCCGCCGAGTAGCTGGGATTACAGGCACGCGCCACCATGCCCAGCTAATTTTTTGTATTTTTAGTAGAGACGGGGTTTCACCATGTTGACCAGGATGGTCTCGATCTCTTGACCTGGTGATCCACACGCCTCGGCCTCCCAAAGTGCTGGGATTACAGGCTTGAGCCACCGCGCCCGGCCTTAATTTTTTTTATTTTTTTTGTTTTTTGAGACAGGATCTTGCTCTGTCACCCTGGCTGGAGTGCAGTGGCACAATCACAGCTCACTGCAGCCTCAACCTCCTGGGCTCATGCAATCCTCCTGTCTCAGCTTCCCAAGTATCTGGGACTGCAGGCATGTGACACCACACTCAGCTAATTTTTTATGGCTTGTAGAGATGGAGCCTCCCTATGTTGCCCAGGCTGGTCTCGAACTCCTGGGCTCAAGTGAGCCTCTCGCCTTAACCTCTACCAGGCTCAGCTTTGAATGACATTTGAACTATTTCTAACATTTGCACCCGCCCCCAGAAGTGAAGATGCGTCACCACTGAAACCTATTCAAAAAAATGTGGCTGATGAAAACACTCAAAGATGGCAGGCAGAGGCATCCTCAAAGCTGACCTTAAGGTTGGAGTACAGATCAGTTGTCTTCCAAACTGTGCACCTTGGAGCCAATAGCGTTCTTTCTAAAAAAAAAAAAAAAAAAAAAAAAAGTAAGGCCGATTACTTGGTATCCACACCTGGTGTGATAACATTCCTGCCCGCCCAAACACCCATGGGTAGAAAGTGAAACAAAACATACCAAAGAGAAAATGTGGAAATAGCTTTACATTTTAGACTTCTAGTTTTTCTTACATGGGAAATTTTAAGGAAACATTTGTGAGACAAACCTCAGGTTGACATCTCCGGGTAGAGTTTCTCACAGCGTGATTGCAAAACCCATCAGAACTGTAGGGGAAGGAAGATTTCTTTCCTCATTCACCGCTAGGCTCGTGGCTGAGGCACCTATAACAAAAGACGGCTTAACAAGTGAGAGGCATACGCATTGGTTTCATGTAAGTTTTACCTGACGTGAGAGCTTGCAAAAATGAAGACCCAAAGAGAATGGGAAACCTGCATCCTTTTATGCTTAGTTTGATGCAGAGTGGTCAGGCGTGTGGAAGTGTGATTGGACAGGGGAGAGAGAGCGGTGCTAGCCTTGGGGGACTTGCAGGGCGTTTGTTCAGGGTCTTCTCTCTGTCCCTGTGTCTTCTGAGATAAGCATACTCTTCTCCTTTGGGTATAGGGGGGACCTCTCAAATGAGGGCCTTATGACTGGCGTCAGGAGGGAAGGGCAGGAGAAATTCAGAGAGTGACCTTCCTAGGTGGTAGGGCCTGCACCAAGGGAGAAAGGCTTTCCTGCTTCTGCTATTTTATCAAATGCCAAGGTGCCAGATTTGGGGTAACACGTCTCAAACCTCATGGAAATCACTTGGGGAGCTTGGTAAAAATGAAGATACCTGGACCCACCCTGGACCTGTGGAATCAGAATCTCCAGGTTTAATGTTCGCCTGACCCTAATGAATAAACATAAATCAAAGGTCTGCCAAGGTTCATGGTCTGCTGATGGGGCAGGAGCCTATCATTTCAGAGAATTCGAGAACAGGAAAGACCCTTGCGGCTTATGTCCCAAATCCTGCATTTTACTGATGAAAAAATACAGATCCAGAATCTCCAGGGAATTTTAGATAAACTTCCTAGTTAATTCTCGGGCATAGTAAACCCTCAGATACTTGTCCTACAGTTTGGCTGAGTCCCAAGGAGGAAGGCTCTTCTCTAATCTCCTGGGTTGCATATTGTCTTAAACATCAGGAATGCTCCCGGTCAGCAGAGGAGCCTGCCCAGGAGCACTCAGCACTGAGTGAACACAGGCCGAGAGTACCCCCAGCCCAAGAGCACTGAGTCGGTTTTTAACTAAGACATTTGCAGTCAGAAAGAGGCCAAGAATGCCATTCTTAATTTCAGGAAAAGGTGAGGCTGAGGGATGTGTCTGCATTTTTGTGACAAGCTCAATATGTGCTGAGCAAAAGACACGTGGCACTACCCAACTCCGTGGGATTTTTTTCGCCCTCTAACGATTGACTTAAACTCAGTCTGAAGCTGACCTTGGATTCCCTATTATTCTAAGCCAGCATTATTGGTTATGGGATGTAACCCTGTTGGCAGAAGGAGATACCTAAGGAGCGGTTTACTCTCGTCTTCGCCAGGCGTGTGATACAGTGTGAGAACTAAAAGCATGTGATGTTTCGTCTTTGCCCGATCTCCACCTGTGGGATGACGGACTCATGGTTTTAGAAATAAAGACATCCTCTGCACCAAGATCGTGTTAAATCCCTAGGTCTTTGCGGCCAGTGACAAAGGGGGAAATTGAGACAGAACACTGGATTATTTTATTTTTGAGACAAGGTCTTACTCTTTTGCACCAGGTCTTACTCTTGTGCGATCACAGCTCACTGCAGCCTTGACCTCTCAGGTCCAAGTGATCTTTCTACCTCAGCCTCTTGAGTAGCTGGGACTACAGGTGCATGCCACCACACCTGGCTAGTTTTCTTATTTTTTTATTTTTATTATGGAGATGGGATCTTCCTCAGTTGCCCAGGCTGGTCTCGAACTCCTGGGCTCAAGCGATCTGCCCACCTTGGCCTCCGAAAACACTGGCATTGCAGGCATGAGCCATCCTCCCCGGCCTGGATACTTTTAGCCAAAGGAGAAATACCGGCATTATTTCCTCTGTAGTGCCCATGGTTTTGGTGTATAGACTCACCCTATGTTTGTCATTATGGATGTAAGATTCATTTCAGAGTATCTCCCTGAATTTGATTAACTGATGGGCTGATTTTTCCTTGGTTACATACATCACAGTGTCTCCAAGCCTGCTTTTTACAGCAGTGGAGTGTGGATACTGGAGTCCCACTGACTGATTCAAATCCCAGCTCTGCTTCTTATCATCTGGATGACCTGGCTTGGGTCACCAACCATCCTGGCCTGCCAGGGACTGAGGAACTTTTCTGGATGTGGAACTTTTGGTGTTAAAGCCAAGAAAAACCCAAGTGAACGGGGGCAGCTGGTCATCCTGGCCTTTGAGCAAGTGACTTTCACCGCCCCAGCTTGAGCCTCCTCACCTGTAGTGTGCCTTGCCAGTCGTAGTAAGCTATTTTGTGGGGCTGTTGGAGGACTCAGGAGGTGCGGCCCTAAAGCAGTTGGAACTGGGCCTGGCCACATGGCTCCTGTGTGTTTGGTGTCACTTTTTCATCAGCAGTGCTGATGTGTTACAAACGGCATTGGAGAGCTGGTGCCATATGGTGGCAGAATGCAACCAGACGCAGACCACGGACACCACTTGTGGACATGGTGAAGAGTTCGTTGGAACCTTCCTTTACTGTGTGGGTGATGGCTGAGATGCTTGGAAAACAGATATTTGGTATGTCTTGTGTGGTAACAGTTGTGACCTCTGGGCCCCGAATAACGAGTGCCCCTCCCGGTAGATGGGGTGGCTGCAGACTCACCTGTGAGCTGTGGAAATGGGGAGGCCATGTTCATTTTGATGAAGCAGGTAAGATGGTGGCCACTCCTGGGCACGGACAGAGATGGGACAGGAGTAGTCCTGTGTGCAGGAAAAGGTGTGGGAAGGGGACGTCAGACAAGTCAAACAAGGACTTGGACTCATAAGCTGGTCAGGGACCTTAAATGTCACCTGCATCTGGGGGTCCCATCACAGGAGAAAAAAGGCCAAGTCTATTTTCTGAGTTCCTCATAACTTCATAGCAGAGAAGAAAAATGACAGGAAGAGCCATCAATAACAAAAGGCAAGTAGAGGAAATATGAAGCTATAGGGGCCAGAGTTTACAACAAATCTCCTTCATTTGTCATATTCCATCAATCAACGCATTTGTAGAACACCTACTATGTGCCAGGTGCTGTGTGTCACCTGCACTGAAGCTGTATCCTGGAACACAACAAACAGTGCCTTCTCCCATAGTTGGGCCACACTTCCATTTCTTCATTCAGCATGTGGATATTGAGTACCTACTATGTGCCACGAAGTCTTCTAGGCACCTGCTTTGTGGCATTTGTAAATAAATACACATATACAGGAAAATATCAGAGTTGGCAGGGCCTGCTGGCTTATGCCTGTAATCCCAGCACTTTGGGAAGCCAAGGCAGGTGGATCTCCTGAGGTCAGGAGTTCAAGACCAGCCTGGCCAACATGGCAAAACTCCGTCTCTACTAAAAATACAAAAATTAGCTGAGTATGGTGGTGCATGCCTGTAATCCCAGCTGCTCGGGAGGCTGAGGCAGGAGAATTGCTGTAACCCAGGAGCCAGAGGTTGCAGTGAGCTGAGATCGTGCCAATGCACTCAGCCTGGGTGACAAAGTGGGACTATGTCTCAAAAAATAAATAAATAAATAAATAAAGATCAGGGTCATGTGAGAATAAGAAGGCTCCAGCTCTCTGGATACCTGCTCTGGGTCTGGCCCTCCTCCACGCACTCAATACATCCTCTCCCATTGAAGCCTCATCACAGTCTACATCCTATTAAACTAAGCTAACTCACATTGCATGAGCTAACATACGATTTTATCCTCATTTTATCAATGAGGGCATTGAGGCACCCTGCTCTTCAGCACTATCCTAGCCCATCTCTCTAGAGGCATCTGGCAACGCCGGGGGTACTTCCGATTGTCACACCTGGGGAAGTGTAGTGGGCAGAGGCCAGAGATGCTGCAAAACGTCCTGCAATGCACAGGACAGCCCCGCAACGGAGGATCCTCCAGCCCCAAATGGCCAGAGTGCCAGGTAGCTCTCAAAAGCCTGGGGAGAGGGCCTGGGAGAGGCCTCTGTGCCCTTTCAGATGTGGGCTGCGTCCATGGGCATGCAACTGTTTGGGTACAGCAGGTGCAAAGGCCCCCACAGGATGGGCATGGGCCTGTGCACGGAGCGCATCCAGGAGGAGGTGTCAGAGTGGGAGGGTCAGGGAGAGTGGGGAGTTGTGGCCGATGTCAAGGAGCTGGCATTGACCCTAAGCGTCATCAGGAGCCACTGGAAGGTCAAAAACTGTGAGAGATAGATGGCTTTTCATTGTTACTTTGCTTATTTCTATTTTATGACTGCTGTGGGCTGAATCGCATCCCCTGCACAACTCATGTGTTGAAATCCTAACCCCCGGTGCCTCAGAATGCGACTATATTTGGAGATAGGGTCTTTACAAGGTAATTAAGTGAAGTGAGGTAATGAGGGTGGGCCCTCCTAATCCACTATGACCAGTGTCCTTAGAAAAATCATCACTGGTCATCAGAGAAATGCAAATCAAAACCACATTGAGATACCATCTCATGCCAGTTAGAATGGCAATCATTAAAAAATCTGGAGACAACAGATGCTGGAGAGGATGTGGAGAAACAGGAACACTTTTACACTGTTGGTGGGAGTGTAAATCAGTTCAACCATTGTGGAAGACAGTGTGGTGATTCCTCAAGGACCTAGAAATAGAAATTCCATTTGACCCAGCAATCCCATTACTGGGTATATATCCAAAGGATTATAAATCATTCTACTATAAGGACACGTGCACACGAATGTTCATTGCAGCACTGTTTACAAGAGCAAAGACCTGGAACCAACCCAAATGCCCATTGATGATAGACTGGACAGGGAAAATGTGACACATATACACCATGGAATATTATGCAGCCATCAAAAACGATGAGTTTGTGTCCTTTGTAGGGACATGGATGAACCTGGAAACCATCATTCTCAGCAAACTGACAGAAGAGCAGAAGATCAAACACCGCATGTTCTCACTCATAGGCGGGTGTTGAACAATGAGAACACATGGACACAGGGAGGGGAGCACTACACACTGGGGTCAGTTGGGGGGAAATAGGGGAGGGACGGTGGGGGGTGGGGAGCTGGGGAGAGATAGCAAGGGGAGAAATGCCAGATGTAGGTGATGGGGAGGAAGGCAGCAAATCACACTGCCACGTGTGTACCTATGCAACAATCTTGCGTGTTCTTCACATGTACCCCAAAACCTAAAATGCAATAAAATAAATGGGGAAAAAAAAAAGAAAAAGAAACGAGGACACAGACACGTTTGCACACAGGGTAGACTCCGTGAAGACACAGGGAGGAGAAGACGGTCGTCTCAAGCCAAGGAGAGAGGCCTCGGGGGAAAACAGCCCCTCCCACACCATCATCTCACACCCCTGTCCTTTGGAATTGTAGGAAAAGGGAGCCGCGGTGGCTCCGGCCAGTTGTCCTGGTGCTTGAGGAGGCGAGGCTATGCATTCAAGGCCGACCGGGGCAACATAAGAACCTCTCATTCATTAAAAAAAAAAAGAATTGCAGGAAAATGCATGCCTGCTGTCTACACCACTCAGTCTGTGGAACTTTGTTATGGCAGCCGTGACAAACTCATACAATGGCTGTCCTCCAGGGAGAGAAATACACGTACACAGCCGTGCAGTTACAGAAGACAATGACCACCACCACAACCAGTAAAACTGCTTGAAAACGATGAGGCGAAGGAGACGCGGTCAATGCCCTGGAGACTCCGTGCAGAAATGAAAACTGTCTTTACAAACTAGCTGTCAGGAATCGAGGAGGAATCATTCTCAAGAAACACGGAGCCCCCAAGAGGAATGCAGCTAGGACATTGCAGTGCCCTTGGCCTGACAAGGCCAGACACGCACACAGGTCGCTGTGCAGGCTGACCGTGCCGCGTGCAGCACACCCGGCCTTCGGAGGGTTCAGGCTGCAGACAGGCGCGCGCGGCTGCGGCGGACACGTTCCTGCTGTAGCCACCACCTGCCTCCTTCTGATCAGCTCTGAAACTGCTTTGGAAAAGGCAGTAGAGTTGACAAAGGGCGTTCAAGGTTACGAGAGGCACCAGAGAGGAGAAAGAAAGAAAGGACAAGAAGGAAGGAAGGGAAGGAGGGAGGGAGGGAGGAAAACAAGCAACGCAGACATTCAGCAGACGGTTTCAAATGGCCACTGTGGGTGGATGTCAAAGTAAGAAGGGGAGCTGTGGAGAAAATACATAATAAAACATGCACAATGGGGTAGAGCAGAGCGGCCAAGGCAGCCTGTGTTAGCCCAGGTTACTCTGCACTTGGGTGTGTTCAGAGCGCTGTTGGTTTGTACACTGAAGACAAACTGTGCAATTGGTTGTAAATATCCCCTATGAATGAAATATGACGCAGACTGCGGTCACCCCCCAAACTGTGCCCTATTAATTGTGGAATGAAGGAATTGTCTTGTTTGCATCTCAGAAAGCTCAATTGTATCTTTTTCTTTGCAGTGCAATCTGACCTGTATAGACAGGACCGGAGTGAGGCTGTTAGAATTTTCTTTAATTTAGAATCTTCCACTATTGACACTTGATCTGACAGCTTGTTAGAAACCATTCCCTCAGCCAGGCGCGGTGGCTCACGCCTGTAATCCCAGCACTTTGGGAGGCCGAGGTGAGTGATGACTTGAGATCAGGAGTTCGAGACCAGCCTGGCCAACATGTTGAAACCCTGTCTCTACTAAAAATATAGAAATTGACCAGATGTGGTGGTATGCACCTGTAGTCCCAGCTACTCAGGGGTCCGAGGCAGGAGAATCGCTTGAACCTGGGAGGTGGAAGTTGCAGTGAGCTAAGATTGCCTGTCTCAAGAAAGAAAAGAAAAGAAAGAAAGGAGGGAGGGAGAAAGGGAGGGAGAGAGGGAGGGAGAGAGGGAAGGAGGGAGGGAAAAAAAAAAAAAAAAAAACATTCCCTCTCAGCAAATGCCTCAGTAGCAGCCGCTGGTGACTGTTTCCACTGACCCTCCCTGCGGGAGCTCCCCTCTCAATCTGGTAACCGCTGCCTATTCCAAATTCCCTGTGGTGAAAACTCCCTCTCCCCAAATATCTCAGAGGGTGTGGTGGGTGTTGAGTCTGGCTGGGTCTGGAAGGTTGAAGTGGAATTAAAACCATCTGAGTCAGTGATTGTGGATTGGCCGTGTGGTCCCGGCCTAGATACAGTCAATTTCGGCAAGAGGGTGGGGGATGCTTTCTCCTCTCGGAGAAACCTGGGAGGGCAGAGGGCAGGGGGAGAATGAAAGAGTGCCCCAGTGTTTAGAACAAAAGGAGAAGTGGTGAGGGCAGTCTGTGTCGTCCGTTAGTAGGAAATGGAGTGAGAGGAGCTATGGAAACTCGTGGTACGCTGACTTCGAAGATGGCCTGCAATCACCACCTTCTGGCAGATGCACCCTGATGTCACCCTTGACCTGGTATGGGCTAGACCCAGTGACTTGCTCCTGTAGATGAATTAGAAATGACTGTGACTTCCACCTCGCTAGCATACACATTCTTTCTCTCTCGTGAGCTTTGATGGAGCCAGCTGCCACACTGGAGAGACCCACATGACAACGGACTGAGAGTGTCCTCTGGCCGACAGCTGGCAAGGAACCGGGTCCTGCCACCACTGGCAGGCCAGCCTCAGAGCAAGCCTGGAAGTGGATCCTGCCCCAGCTGAGTCTCCATGACAGCCATGTGGGATGGGACACCAGGAGCCCACATCATGATCACAGCCTGCAAGTGACTCTGAGGGAGGGGGTCCTCTAGGCACACCCAGATTCCTGACCCACAGGAACTGTGAGTCCAAAACATGAGATTCTTTTAAGCTACTAAATTTTGAAGTAACTTACTATGCAGTGATAGATAGCAGTACAGGCCCGGCTGAGACTTCTGCTCTCTCACCCCAGACCCTGAGTCAGAGGCCAGCCTGGTGCCACTGCTGTGTGCTGTGGCAGTGTGAGCCCTCATCTGTAACACAAGAGGGTGGACCCCAGTCCCTTCCAGGCCGAGAGCTCTACACGCCTGCTGGCCTTACCGTGGAAAGAGCTGTTCTCCTGCACAAAAGCCTTACCCTTTCTTGCCACTGTAGACCCAAGCTCGGAGATTCCAGGTATGCCTTAATGCCCAAAAGTGGGCACCGAAACCCTTTGTAAAATAAGATGAGCCAATCTTAAGTCGCCTAACATTTGTGGACCAGAGGTAGCTCTGAAACTAAGAAAACAAAAGCATTTCCTGAACTTTTTTTTTTTTTTTTTTTTTTTTTGGAGGAGTTTTGCTATTTTTGTTCAGGCTGGAGTGCAGTGGTGCAATCTTGGCTCAATGCAACCTCCGCCTCCCGGGTTCAAGTGATTCTCCTGCCTCAACCTCCCAAGTAGCTGGAATTAAAGGCACCTGCCACCATGCCCAGCTAATTTTGTATTATTTAAATTAATTAATTAAGTAAGTAAGTAGAGACAGGGTTTCACCATGTTGGCCAGGCTGGTCTAGAATTCCTTACCTCATGTGATCTGCCCGCCTCAGCCTTCCAAAGTGCTGGGATAACAGGCGTGAGCCACTGCGCCTGGCCTCTTGAGTTCTTCTTCAGAAAGCCTCCCTGCCTTGTTCTATTTTTTCTCTAACATTTCCACCATCAAATGGGCTTTCTTATTTGCTGATTTATTATGTTCATTGCACATTGTCTGTCTCCACCCACCCACATGTGCTCAAAAGAAATTCTGCCAGGCAATAATCCTTGTCTGTCTGATTTACTGATGTGTCCCAAGCAGCTAAAATAGTGTTTGGAGCACAGCATGTGCTCAATAAATAATTGCTCAATAAACGATTGTCTTTTGGGAGGCAAGGTACGGTGTGGTAAGGGGGGAAAGGTATTTAGATATAATAAAGTTTGAACTGTGCTGCATTAAACATTTTTTATTAGGCCGGGTGTGGTGGCTCACTCCTGTAATCCCAGCGCTTTGGGACGCCGAGGCGGGCAAATCACCTGAGGCCAGTAGCTCAAGACAAGCCTGGCGAACGTGGTGAAACACCATCTCTACTAAAATACAAAAATTAGCCAAGCGCAGTGGCGTGCACCTGTAATCCCAGCTACTCAGGAGGTTGAGGCAGGAGAATCACTTGAACCTAGGAGGTAGAGATTGTGGTCAGTGGAAATGGTACCACTGCACTCTAGCCTGGGCGACAGAGTGAGACTCCCTCTCAAAAAAAAAAAAAAAAATTGTTAAATGCTCACACTGGATTGTAAGCACCAGTATTATGCCTTAACACAGAGCTTTCTTAAGAGCTGACCCAGTACAAGTTATTGCTCCCTCACATCTTGGAATGTCTGGAGTCCTTCACCAATAAATCTCAGAGAAGCCTGCTATAGAAGAAATGTTTGTGTCCCCCAAAAATTCATGTGTCAAAATCCTAACCCCCAATGTGGTGGTATTAGGAAGTGAGGCCTTTGGGGAGTGATTAGATCATGAGGGCAGAGCCCTCACAAATGGGATTAGTACCCCTATACAAGCCCAACAGACCTCCCTTGCCCCTTCCATCATGGGAGGTTCCAATGAGACTAAGGTCTATGAACCAGGAAGTGGGCCCTCACCAGACGTGGCATCTTGATCTTGGACTTCCCAGACTCCAGAACTCTGGAAAATAGATTTGTTGTTTATAAGCTACCCAGTTTATGGCATTCCATTATAGCAGCCCAAAAGGACTAAGACAGCCTCTATTAGTATGCCAAATCCCTGGCTGGGTGCAGTGGCTCACGCCTGTAATCCCAGCCCTTTGGGAGGCAGAGGTGGGTGGATCACCTGGAGTCAGGAGTTCGAGACCAGCCTGGACAACATGGTGAAACCTCGTCTCTACTCAGGTGCCTGTAATCTCAGCTTCTCTGGAGGCTGAGGCAGGAGAATCGCTTGAACCTGGGAGGCAGAGATTGCAGTGAGGTGAGATTGAGCCACTGCAACCCACCCTGGGTGATAAGAGCAAAACTCTATCTAAAAAAAAAAAAATCCCAAATCCCCTCCCATTTTAGCAGGCTGCCCACACATTACATCTTTCTATGTGACCCAGGAAGGTTGGGAAACATTGGCACAGCTAATCAGCCTTAATTATAAAGTTCAAAACAGACCACTTGTGAGTGTTAAGTCTTTTGATAATTATATACTGATTTGGACACTTTTTCTTTTTCCTGCCTGGGCTTTACTACTCTTCTGTTAGTCACAGAATCTATATTTTTCTAGCAGAGCTCTTACTTCTTGCTCCTGAATCTCTAAGGACATTTGGGTCAGGACTGGGCACCTGACTCCAGCCTGGCCAATCATAGCATGGACTCTTCATGGCCTCAGTGATTGGTTCATGGTGGACACCTGACCCAGGCCTGGCCAATCAGAGCACGGATTCTCCATAACCTTGCTGGTTGGCTCAGGGAGGGGCACCTGAGCCAGGACTGGACACATGGATTCCCCAGGTCACAGCAATCGGTCCAGATTCCTGTAGGTGATCCAAGTCCAGCTGATAAGACTCCATTTAGGGATGC